TGACAATGATGTCGCCAGGTCAGATTGAGTTAGACCTATCGGATTGCGCCATCTACAGTTTCATGCCAGAACACTGTATTTCATGTGTAATGCCTTTCTAACATGTTATATAGCCTATACGATTTATATATATATATATATAAAACAGTAATTACAACACCAGGCATACATTGTCATGACAACATGATGGTTTCATAAATGTTAGGTTATTTAATATTACTATTATCTGTTTATATCAGCACTGTAGACACTCGAGCAGTAAGTTTATAGGAATATAGATATGGGGTGGTGTGAGGAGTTCATATTAACCCTGAAGTTGATTATTTTCCTAGAACATCACGTCCTGAAATGTTTTATTCTTCCTGTACTGCAGCAAACAACTACACATCATCCTTTTGTATTCATCTATAGTTTATAGTCATAAAAATGCCCATGAAAGGAGTTCCTGTTATTACTTACGTTATAGCAGCGATAAACACTCAGTCCTTCAACATGCAGCCTGTTTTTTTCCTTACTGAGAAACTACAAACTCTAAACGCCTCTGTTCTGAAGACTTTCCTGCTGGAACTAGTGTCAGAGCTGCTGTTATAGAAAATGAAGCAACACCATCTGACCAATCAGAATCGAGAGTTCAGAGCCTGTCATGTTTGCATTATTCTTATGAAGACATTTTATAGTGCAATATGTTTTACTTGTTTTTGAAGTGTATGCATTGAGAAGTTTGCTCTAAGCCTGGGATTGCTGTGCTTTGGGAAAATAAAATGGTAGAAATCCTCTAGCAGATGTCATTATGAACACCATGAGGCCACAGGTTAACAATTACAATTAACAATATCACTTTATTATCGTATACTTTCTAAAGCAAGCAAGTAAAGAACAAGTGGAATTCTTTAATGCATGTTTGTTGATGGTTAGAGAATCTCTCTACATGCACTGGTTCAGGCTGGTGCTCTGGCTCAGCGGTGTGGAAAGCGCCGGGTGACTCAGTGTAGGTTCTCCCGGAGCTCCAGCGCTGCTTACTGAGCTTCAGAACGCTGGTTTGGGAGAAGGTGCCGTCGGCCTGACGCTGATACGGAGCCGTCTGCACCTCGTCCCCCGTCACGCCGCTGCTGTCCTCAGACCAGGACATGGTGACACCGTCAGGGTAAAAGCCCCGAGCCACACACACCACACTGACATCACCCTCAGAGAGCGGAGAAGCAGGAGGAGCCAGCAGGAGCAGAGACGGAGGAGACGACGGACGATCAGATATCACTACAGGGACAAAACTTTGATTTAACGTGGCACCATCATCAAGGAACATTGTTGCTGTTCTTCACTCACTTGTAAGTTTACTCAGTATTAAATAGTCTACTAAGGCTTGTGTCTGTTAAGGATAAAATCAATTAGGATCAAAGTTGGATTAAAAAGTAGATTCAGTGGATTTGGAGAGGTTTCAAGACTTAATAATGCTGATTAACTTCTCTATTAATTAGTATGCCTAATTATTACTTACAATGTATGACAATGATGTCGCCAGGTCAGATTGAGTTAGACCTATCGGATTGCGCCATCTACAGTTTCATGCCAGAACACTGTATTTCATGTGTAATGCCTTTCTAACATGTTATATAGCCTATACGATTTATATATATATATATATAAAACAGTAATTACAACACCAGGCATACATTGTCATGACAACATGATGGTTTCATAAATGTTAGGTTATTTAATATTACTATTATCTGTTTATATCAGCACTGTAGACACTCGAGCAGTAAGTTTATAGGAATATAGATATGGGGTGGTGTGAGGAGTTCATATTAACCCTGAAGTTGATTATTTTCCTAGAACATCACGTCCTGAAATGTTTTATTCTTCCTGTACTGCAGCAAACAACTACACATCATACTTTTGTATTCATCTATAGTTTATAGTCATAAAAATGCCCATGAAAGGAGTTCCTGTTATTACTTACATTGTAGCAGCGATAAACACACAGTCCTTCAACATGCAGCCTGTTTTTTTCCTTACTGAGAAACTACAAACTCTAAACGCCTCTGTTCTGAAGACTTTCCTGCTGGAACTAGTGTCAGAGCTGCTGTTATAGAAAATGAAGCAACACCTTCTGACCAATCAGAATCGAGAGTTCAGAGCCTGTCATGTTTGCATTATTCTTATGAAGACATTTTATAGTGCAATATGTTTTACTTGTTTTTGAAGTGTATGCATTGAGAAGTTTGCTCTAAGCCTGGGATTGCTGTGCGTTGGGAAAATAAAATGGTAGAAATCCTCTAGCAGATGTCATTATGAACACCATGAGGCCACAGGTTAACAATTACAATTAACAATATCACTTTATTATCGTATACTTTCTAAAGCAAGCAAGTAAAGAACAAGTGGAATTCTTTAATGCATGTTTGTTGATGGTTAGAGAATCTCTCTACATGCACTGGTTCAGGCTGGTGCTCTGGCTCAGCGGTGTGGAAAGCGCCGGGTGACTCAGTGTAGGTTCTCCCGGAGCTCCAGCGCTGCTTACTGAGCTTCAGAACGCTGGTCTGGGAGAAGGTGCCGTCGGCCTGACGCTGATACGGAGCCGTCTGCACCTCGTCCCCCGTCACGCCGCTGCTGTCCTCAGACCAGGACATGGTGACACCGTCAGGGTAAAAGCCCCGAGCCACACACACCACACTGACATCACCCTCAGAGAGCGGAGAAGCAGGAGGAGCCAGCAGGAGCAGAGACGGAGGAGACGACGGACGATCAGATATCACTACAGGGACAAAACTTTGATTTAACGTGGCACCATCATCAAGGAACATTGTTGCTGTTCTTCACTCACTTGTAAGTTTACTCAGTATTAAATAGTCTACTAAGGCTTGTGTCTGTTAAGGATAAAATCAATTAGGATCAAAGTTGGATTAAAAAGTAGATTCAGTGGATTTGGAGAGGTTTCAAGACTTAATAATGCTGATTAACTTCTCTATTAATTAGTATGCCTAATTATTACTTACAATGTATTGCAGTGCTTCATTATTTTACAAAATGTCATTTTAAATGTTTTATCATTATTGTTTCTCATTCGATTAGCTTTTTTTTGTCATGTTATTTTTTTATATTTAGCTCTATTCAAAAGATTTTGGGCATCAGCCTGATGTCCACGTCTTTGCAAAAGGGCACAGACTTCATTTTTATATTTAATCTATTCATTCATTCATTTTTATATTTAATAATAATAAATAATTACATATATTAAAATGCAAATTATCAATAGTGTTTAAAATGCCATGAAGGCTTTTTTGTTTACATTTTTAAAAAAATAAAACAAGTAAAACATGGGATTGTAAAAATTGGAGTGTAGGTTTTTGACTTATGACATTTTTTACTTAAAATGAATATATTATTATTATTAAAAATAATTAAAATTGTACATTTTTGCCAGCTGTTTTTATCAAACAAAAAAAAAAGATTAACTTCTGTCAATCATGTACTTATTCATCCATGTTGACCTAAAGTTGGCCTAAACATTGAAATAAGGATTAAATCAATAAAACAAATTTTTGCTTACCAAGGTTGGTGCCTTGAGCAAACACATAGGCTCACGGTGTTAGAGCTCAGTACAAAAACCTCAGCGCTGTAATCTGAGCACTTCACCGCTCCTGAATATAGACAAAAGAGCAGAAAGTTTCGCGGATTTAGTGCAGAGCATATTTCTAAGGCTTGCTAACACTCTCTATAAAGCCTGTATTCATTATCTCTGATCTGTGTGAAGTGATGAATCATGTGTAAAATTCAGTGTGAGAAATGAATCGTGTGAAAATGAATGAATCACATGAATCAACACATGATTTTCAAGTTGGTGACAATGTTCAACAAAACTTAGTACGTTGTGCATTAAAGAATAATGTGTAGCATGGAGATTTCTGAGCACACGCTTCAGAGGAGGTTTTTGTA